CTATTTCCTCATACATTCTCTCTTCTCTTTCCTCTTTCCTTTCCTTTTCTCCCTGTTTCTTCCTTGTTATTCTTTTGCCCTCTTTTGTTTCTCTCCTATTTCGTTTCTCCCTTTCTTTTTCGGCAACGGTGACGGCAATTTTGGCAACGGCGATTTCAATGATTTCAACATTGGCAATTTCAAAGTTTTCACTTTCCTTTTTTTTCCTTCCCCTTTCCAATATTTCTTCCTGTTCTTTCATTCCTCTCTTTTCTCGCTTCTCCCTTTCCCTTTCCCTGACAGTAATTTTAGCAATTTCGGCATCGGCAATTTCGACGATTTCGGAATTGACATTTTCTCTATTTTCTTTCACCTCGTCCCTCTCTTCCACCTCGTCCCTCTCGCTCCTCTCGTTCCTCTCGTCCCTCTTGTCCCTCTCATCCCTCTCATCCCTCTCGTCCCTCTTGTCCCTCTCATCCCTTAGCTTCCCTCCTTTAACACTTTTTTTTCCTATCACTTCTCCTTTTCTTTTTCTATATACTTCATAATTTTTTCCTCCTACCCCTTCTTCCTCTTTTTTTTTGTAGTGGCGTTTTTTTTCAACTGTTTCGATGGCAGGAACCTTTCCTAAAGGTTTTATATATACGTATGGTTCGTTATCACTCATGGTTTGATAAAAGAAAAAATTTTTTTTAAAATTATATATATTAATTTGATTATCATTGATAATCAAATTAAAATAAACGATTATGAAAATCGTGATTTAATTGGCGATTAGAAAATCGTGATTTAATCGGCGATTATGAAATCGCGATTTAATCGGCGATTTTCAACGATAATGAAAATCGCGATTAATCGTTCGCCAAAAATTCGACTCGAATATATAGTTGACTCGCGATTCCTATCCCTACAATGCGAATTATTCAAATGTTATTTATTATCACGATCAAAGTTACACGATTCTTACATAACGTTACGTAATGAAGAACTGTTGCTTGATCGGTAAGCAAATCTTTATTTTATTTATTTTATTTTTATACAAGATTTATCTAACAATCTTTTT